CCAATAAGTGTTACAGTCGCTGCTTCTTACTTAGCCATGTTGGGCAAAAATGTGTTTGCTCAGCAGGGTCAACATGTGGCAATACTGGCTCCTGGGCCAAGAACAACAAGTCAAACAGCGTAAGCATTTCCAGCCAATGACTAAACCCAGTCGTCTCATTAAGTTAGGAAGGAAACAAAACACACACATCTATGCCTAACCACCAAGCCGGAACATTTTCTAAGGAGGAGGACAAGAAAAGGTATTGTCAAGCCAGGCACTACAGAATGGGTCCAATTACACTTTAAAAGCTGCACACCTAATCAACTTTAGTGACGCACAAGTGACGATCAATCTGTTTCTTAAGTGTTAAAAGGACACATATTCTGCCTCTCTCCTCCTAGCCTAGTTTTTGCTTCACTGTGCTCACAGCTCTTAACTTGCTGGTAGCCCCATTCAGTCTTCATATCTTGACCTTATGTCTGCTGTACATGACCCCAGCTCTCTCCTCCCAGCCCCCAAAGAATACAGTTTGTCACGAGCCTGTCCCGTTGTTGTTGTTCTTGTTGGAAAGTGCTGTCAAATCACAGCTAATTTATGGTGACCCCATAGGGTTTTTAAGCTAAGAGACATACAGAGGTGGTTTGCCATCGCCTGCATCCGCTTCACAACCTTGGTATTCCTTGGAGGTCTCCCATCCAAATACTAGCCAGGGCCAACCCTGTTTAGCTTCCAAGACCTGACACATCAGCAAACCAGGTCTGTCACTAAGTCCCTCATCTGCAGGAACCTGCAGCCAATCCCAATTCTCTGACGGGCGCCCCAGTACAAGTGTTCACCAAGACCTGTATGGTGCATTTATACATAGATTTACTAACTGAAAAATACAACATGTGTAGAAAGTCCTCCAAGACCTTCAGCAGAAAGCCATGATCATTTAAACAGAAGAGGTTCTAGTTTCCTGCCTGGACTTCTTCGGATAAAGTATCCTGTCAATCTGAACATAAGTTCCGTAACTGTCAGACTGCTTCCCTCCTTAAACCTTTCCCAGATCAAAGGCTTGAAAGTCTTGAAGGCAAAATTTAACCTCCGCAATCCCTAAAGGATGGATTGATGGGGGGGGGGAAGCTCCCCAATACACATGGTATTCTAGGGGAAAGTATTCAGCGTTTTCAAAGTATGCTGCAGAGTGGTTTCCATCTCTAGCTTATTTTACTGTGCTCTGATTATAGGTCCTTAAGCTCAATTATATAGCTTGTCCTAAAGCTAGCAATTCCAACTGGAAAACAGGACAGCTATCAGAGTGTCTATACCGTGCCAGGAACAACTGTCTGTGAAAAACTGGCAGTTCTGTATTCCCTACTCATTCATCTCATTTGGGCTTTTTTAACATTAACCCCCCCCCCCAGGATTTAGTAAGTACATTAAGAACAGATCGCCGCATGACAATTTGGGCTGTCAAATTTCTAATTTGTTCCTTACTTCTTGCCTTTAGTTTGAACAGCTGGATGTACACAGCAGGAAAGAACATAAGCTTCCCCTCCCCTACAATTCAGATTTCATTTCAGCCATGAACTCACTGAGTTGCCTTGGCCAAGTATTTATTCTTTTTGTAGAGAATACACACACGCTGTCTCTCCAGAAAGTGGCTCAAGTCCATATTCTCTCTGCCTCATCCTCCCGTTGGCAGTATGGAATAATAACTTTGACCCTGTCTTACTGGAGGGAGGGGGGAGGTTCCGTATGTGTGTAAAAATGACTAGACAATGCATGTGAAATACTCTAAGGTGCCATTTCCAAAGCTAAGGACATTCTTTTGTTCCCAGTTTTTGCTTCTGGGAGGCTGAAGGGGGCCTTATCATTACCCCCATTGCTTTCTAGTTAGAAGTCTACCCTCCACTTGTATATAAATCAAATTTCTTTGCTCACACTCCTCGCACCTAAGCCACCACTCATGTTCTGCAGCAGGACAAGGTGTGTCAATTTGAGGGTTGCCATCCTCCGGGCCGCCCCCCCCCCGGGGATTTTTATTCAGGCGCGGCTATGAGAAGGCATTTAAAGAGACTGCAGTATCTATAAATGCCTTTCACTTCCTGGGTCAAGGCATTTGAAGAGACCCTCTTTAAATGCCTTTCACAGTCACTTGTCAAGTAACACTGCTGCTGCGGCCCTTTTTAAATGCTTTCTCCAAGCCACACCACTGCAGTGTGACTTGGCAAGTGAATTTAGAAGGCATTTAAAGAGACCGCCTTTCCCCCCTCCATTGAAGGTAATGGAGGATGAGGGTACCTTCTTTGGGGCCCCACAGAATTGGACTCTCTGATCCAATCTTTTTAAAACTTGGGGGGGGGGGTGAGGAGAGGCACCACCAGCTATGCTGCAAATTTCGTGCCTCTGCCTCAAAAAAAAACAGCTCCCCCAGAGCCCCAAATCGATACTCCATTATCAGTTTCCCGAATATTTCATGAATCTGAATACCATATCAGTACTGGGATTCGGAAATATTGGGAAATGCTGATATTTTTCGGGTTCAATATACCTGAACCTGAAAAATACCAGGGTTTTTTTTGCACACCCCTACTAGGCAGTCCTTCAGGTATACTGTTCTCAAGCCATATGGGGTCTTAAAGGGCAACACCAGCACCTTGAATTGTGTCCAGAAACAGATCTAGAGCTATTGTAGATAGGCCAAGACAGGAGTGATATGGTTCCTACATCCCACTCTGGTCAGTATCCTGGCTGCCACATTCTGCACCAGCTGAAGTTTCTGAACACTATTCGAGGGCAGCCCCACGTAGAGCGCACTGCAGTAATCTAATCTAGATCTTTTCTGCCCTAGAAAGGCTGCAGATGGCTAAGCAATCAAACCTAGTAAAAAGCACTCCTGGCCACAGCTGCCACCTGCTTATGCAGCAGAAGACCTGGGTCCCAGAGCAACCCCACACTATCCTCCAAGAGAAGTCCATCCCCACCCAGAACAGGCAACAACTTAAGTCCTGTGTCTGACCGTTGGCTCACTGGTAGCACTTCTGCCTCCTTGGGATTAAGCAGCAGTTTAGTAGCCCGCATCCACTCCAAAACTGGCCCAGATACTGGTTCAGGGTTTCTACAGCCTCCCTGGGATCAGCCGAAAGCACTAGAACTCAGCGTCATTCATATATTGTTGACAACCCAGCTGAACTCTCTGGATGACCTCACCCAGCAGTTTCATGTTGATGTTACAGAGCACAGAGGACGAAACTGAGCCTTTTGGGACACCACAGGCCAAAGGGCTGAGCAGCAGTCCTCCACCACCACCTTCACAAACCTCCCCTTCCAGGTAGGACTGGAACCACCACAAAATGCTGCCTCCCAGTCCTAGTCCAGAAGGATACCATGACTGATGGTATCAAATGCCACTGAGAGGTCCAGGAGTAAGATTGCTACCCTCCAGGTGGGCCCTGGAGATCCCTCAGGATTACAACCAATCTCCAGATGACAGAGATCAGTTTCCCTGGAGGAAATGTCTGCTTTGTAGCACTGGACACTACAGCATTATACTCACTGAGGTCCCTCCCTCACCAAACTCTGCCCTCCCCCAAATCCACCCCCAAATCTCCAGGAGTTTTCCAAACCTGAGCTGGCAACCCTATTCATGAAAATCAACATTTGCACTCCCCTCTGTCCATCTCCTGGCACAGGTAATCCACCAGGAGATCAAGACAGTTTCAGTCCCATAACCAGGTCTAAAACTGGTTTGGAAAGGCTCCAAACAAGGTGGCTTCATAAATGCCCCTTTCTGTCAAAGCACAAGATGGAGGGGGGCCTTTCTGAGGGGGATGCGTGTGAATTATTGCCAGGCGTGACCCTGTAGCAAGTGTGGTGCGTTGGCCAAACATATCCATATTCAGCTCAGTACCTCTTGCTTATCATGCATCAGGTATAATCAAGTGACTGTGTAATAATCCTAGGAAGGGAACAACCTCTTCAAACCCATAATATTAAAATCATTTAATAACCAGAGGATGGAGGAAATAGCTTGTACAGAGAGCAAAGTGAAGCAGGGGTGTTTGGAAACCTGGTGGTGAGGACATCAGCGATCTTATTACAGTGCTCATATGTAGAATTATTATACAGGCTATTACTTTACATACAAAGAGAACCAGTAAATTATAATTGCAGAACCACAAGATCAAAAGATACTATTAAGCTCCAAGTGCCTTCCAATAATTCAGGAGATAAGCTTAATAAGATTCTTGAGGTGTGCAGGTGTAATAGAAAGCAAAGAACTGGCATGCTTTCTTTTAGTGTAAGAGCCTTAATAAGGCTGTCTGACTCAGCCAGAAGGTTGTCTCTTTATGAAAAGCAGACAAAGCCCTCAGATCGCACCAATAAAAGCTTGCTCAGCTTTATTCAAAAGGTTATGTCACAAAAACAGAAAGTGCACAAGTTTCCATGTTTCAGATATCTGTTTATATCCTGGATTAGAGTACATGAATCAGGTTACACAGATGATTTTGTTAGATTCTATGTGCTAAAAACAACGATAAGCACGTACCCGGGGTCCACTATCATACTTTTGAGCAAGAAACATCGCAGGCAAACAAAGCCATCTTTGAATTGTCAAAGTTCAAACGTTCAAGTGGCACACTAACCCCAATAACAGCATAAAAAACCAACAGGATCTGTGGTTTTGGACACCTCCACTAAGATAGTAGAGGTCTGCACATGCTGCGGAGCTTTCCCAACATTTAAACCTAGTGGTACTGAAGATTTTGTTTGACTTGTCTGGGATGTGGTACCACTAGGCCAGAATTTTATACAGAGCTTCCACAGAAAACACTCCCTGCAAATTCCCTGACATTGAGGCTACCAAGTATTGGGGTTGAGGGAACACAGCACTGTTCCCATATCTACCTTTCCCCCCACAGGAACTAATGGCTTGCATAGGAGACATCAATGCACTTACGAGAACCTCAGAATGAGGATAAACCTGTTCTCAGTTCTCCATTTCACTAGCCACTGAAATTTAAAACCTGTTCCTATCCACACAGCCCTAGCACACAGCCCTAGCCTGGACTTCATTTCCTGATCACACATAAGTGGTGGCAGAATGTCAGGAACAGAGCTTCCTACAGAGAGATTAGGGAGGAAAGATTCTGCTTCTAGTTACCCATCTTGGTCTTTTGACAGATTCGTCTTACTGGTTACGTCCCGCCATGATGCAGGTCAGGTCCCAACTTTCATTCCCAGATCATGGCTTTCATTTACCAATATATTTTGTCTTTCCAGGAGCCTCCAGCAGTTTCTGTATGGTTTCTAGGCATCCTCCCACCCAGCCACTGCTCAGGGTCAGGTCCTCGTCGCCTCATCAGACTTTATCCAGTACTTTTAGACCATTCTCTGATCTAGATTTGAACCACACAACGTCTTAGTAACTACAGGTCTGTAGAGGACAGTGGGAGAAAAGGAGAATAACAGTGTAATATTGTGGTTAGAACAGGAGTCCTCCACTTTGTTGAGCCAGCTGGCACTCTTAAAATTTTGAGAAAAGGTAAGACACTACAAGTAGCTGTCATGGGGCAATTAGAAGATGTTGCAAGTATTGTCCTATGATAAGGGCTGCTATTTCCGAGTCTGAAGTCCCCCGCAGATCCAAAGGGGATGCCAGAATTGCTCTTCTGAAGCGTTTCTTACTTCAGCGAGGTGGAAGAAAGGCAGGACTGGCTCTTTGCTTTGGGGGAGAAGCAGGGAGGTTCCAGGGAACAGTGACTGACATATTGGGGATCACCAGATCAGTCTGACTACAGTTAAGGAGGTCTGAGTTCAACTCCCCTTCTCAGCCATAAAGCCGTGGCTCAGACAATCTTTCTTAGCCAAGCTTACTTCACAGGGATGCTGGGAAGATAAAATGGGGGAGGGGACCATGTAACACACCAACCTGAGCTATGTGGCAGGAAAGCAAATAAACAGTGTGAGAACAAGTTGCACTGTTCAGTGTTTAAGGGTATCAAATGGAAAGTTGACTGACAGCTTTGAAGAACACTGTGAACTCTCCAGGAGAAAAATCAATTATTCATTGTAAGCTGCTAGGGGCAGAGCCTCAGGGAAAATTTGGCCTTGTATAAGCTGCAACACCATAGTCAACATCAAATTGAACGTTCATGCACAAACTTATTTGAGATGGGGTTATGCAATGCATCCGTGCCAAAGAGATCACCGCTAGTGGAATATGAGCTGCTCCAGGAAAATTCGGGGAACATTTCTAATGGATCAGCTCTATCGGAGCAAGCAACTTGGGGAATCCCAGAGGAGATTCCTTGCCAACACTTAGAGAGCTACACGGCTCTGCCAGACAGCATTTATCACCACCAGAGTTGCTAACATTTCCGAGATGGGCAATTATTCTGCACTCATATGCTAGGGTAGCAACAACACGGTAGAATACGGATTAAGTGATAGGACTCTCAAGATTTCATAGCATTAATGCTCAATAAACTCAGTTCACGCATGGAGGTACCTGGTTGACAGGGATCTCTTACCTTGAGAATTCTGAGAATAGAAAAAAAGATGGTCATTCCTGCAGAGTAATTCCAAGCAGAGTTACACTCTTCTAAATTCACTGAAGTCATTGCATAATCAAAATTTCAGATTTTTGTGCTAACCTGCAGGTCCCCACTAAAATCTTTTTAGTGACATTGTGGCCTTGATCCGCAGATTTAGCTATCTACAGATGGGGGCCATATCTGTTGATGGGAAATTACAGGGGCTTGAATACTCACATTCAATTCCACCTTCCTCTTTAGAGGCCTCAAATCAGCTTGTGCAGACTCGGTGTCAATGCTTTGAGTGTATTCCTCCAAGGCCATCCTATGTTCATAAGCAGCCAGAGGAAAGTAATACTGTGAGGCCTAGAAGCCTCCTATAAGTGAGGCCTAGACCCTCAACACTGTGAGGCCTAGAAGCCTCCAAGAATATTTCAGATGTCTCCAAAACCTCTTGGGCACACCCCTCCAGTTGAAGAGGTACATTCCCCACAGAAGGGAAGAAATTCGGACTCAAACCAGGCAAAGGGGGAAACGGAAACCAGTGAAAAACCAGCAGAAACTTCCATGAGACCTACTGTGCTCAAAGAACTAGGCTGCACTTTTTCTTCCACTCCAATTTTTGGGTGCTTCCACCACAGGGAGTTCCATCTCCCCCCAAAAAATGTGGGGGTACAGTTGGGTTATTTTTTATTAATGTAGCCATTCTACATTTGAGTTCACCAATTAAAGATGAGTTATACAAAGCCAATGATACATTGATTCAATGATACAATGAAACAAAGAGAACACCACACCCAACCCAAATACCCACTGCCCCCCCCCACTCCCCAGTACAAGTACCCTCCAGTCCCAGGCGGCCAGCTACAGAGAAAGCCCAATACAAATGCCCCACGGCCCAGGGGCCCTGCTAAAGAAACAGTATTCCCAGTTGGGATGCCCCCCCACGGTGAGCCCAAGGTCCCCCAATATAAATGCCCCGCAGCCCAAAGGCCCCGCTACAGAGACAGCGCTCCCACTCGGATTTCTAAATAAAATGTGTGTGTGTGTGTATATATATATGTGTGTGTGTATATGTATGTGTGTGTGTGTATATATATATATATATATACACACACATACACATATATATACTTCTTAACCACACTAACAACCCCCCAGCACCACAAACACTGAATACAAATGACAATTTATATATATTTCAAATAAACTACTTAACCACACTAACAACCCCCCCAGCACTGAATACAAATGACAATTCAAAACCAACTTCCCCCGAAGCCTCACAATAATAATAATACTCGCAACACTACTACTCCCTATAATACCAATACTACACAACACTGCCTAGAAATTTAGGTTACCTTAAACCAAGAGCCTCCTAAGCTCTAGATACAAATAGCCCACCCTCCTAATTTCTGAAGGCCTGTAAAACTCTTACATCTCCTGACTGCAACTCAAACACTTTCATTAAGCTAAGGCCTTCCTAGACTGACGGACCTCGATCCCACAAAACCTGTGAACAACTAAACACCCAGTCAAGCGGGCCTCAGCCTACACTTCTCCGTATCATGAAATGGGAGAAGTCCAATCACCTTTTGGGGTGCGTCTCCAAATTTGCATGTTTGGTGTGTGTCCCCACCTCCTGCCCTTGATGGCAAGTCTTGCTCCCCTGCTGGTGAGTCTAAGGCTTGCCACCTCTCGGCCATTCTACCTGTGATAATAACCTGTTGATTCTTCTCGACCAGCCATAAGACTACCTCCTGCTGTTTGGTGTCCTAGCTGGTACCACCCTTAGCTTCCTAATTTGTACTGAACTAAGTCAGCCGGGAGCACTAATAGGTGATGACCAAATTTATATTGTAATTGTGACAGCCCATGCATTTGTAATACATTTCTTTATAGTAATACCAGTTATAATTGGCAGTTTTGGCAACAGACTGGTGCCCTGAATAAATAATATAAGCTTCTGACTACTCCCCCAATCCTTACTACTCTTACTTGCATCCTCCAGAGTTGAAGCAAGTGCTAGTACAGGATGGACCGTCTACCCACCATTAGAAGTCAACTTGGCACACGCTGGAGCATCTGCAGACCTAATTATTTTCTCTCTACCCCTGGCTGGTGCATCCTCAATCCTGGGGGGCCTTCAACTTTATTACCATCAGCATTAACATACAATCCTCCACACTATCACAGTATAACACATCTCTGTTTGTCTGATCTGTCCTAATTACTATAGTACTTCTGCTTGCACTACTCGTGCTCGCAACTGGTATTACTATACTACTTACTGACCGAAACCTAAACACCACCTTCTTTGACCCTGCTGGAGGGGGTGACCTGGTGGAATTCTCTGTCAAAAGACATCTGTGCCCTGCGGGACCTTGAGCAGTTCCACAGGGCCTATAAGGCAGAGATGTTCTGCCAGGCCTTTGGTTGAGGACAGCAACGGTCGTCATTTAGCCTGGTGCCTTCCTTCCTTTCACTCCCCCTTGGGGTAAGGATAAACTGGTTTTAGATGCCATCTGGAATGGTTTTGTATTTGTTTTATTGTTTTTAACTTATTTAAATCTATCTATGATTGTATCTTTTGAATGTTGTACACCACCCTGAGCCCCAAGATGGGGAAGGGCAGTTTAGAAATAATTTATATAAAAAAATATAGATAACTCTGTTTATGATTTCACTGTAACAACACTTGCTTATGAACAAGGGTGGGTGAGGAGGAAGGAAAGCACAATTTGAGATGATTTCAGACAATATTAAATATTATTTAAGAGGGCTGTGACAGTTGGGAGAATGATACAGGCAGATGGTTCCTAGTTACACAGCAGAGAATCACAGGGCTGGTATCTTTGCAAGCAATGACTGCAATAGGTAAACAGATACACAAAACTGTATACATAACACAGTGCCTGCAGGAAGTGTGATGAGCTTCAGATAATACATAAGCAAAGATCACAGAGAGATGACAATGTAAGAACAGAGTCAGAGACTGCCTGGGGGGGAAAGAGCCCTGTCCCTTTAATACGGGGTTAATAGGGTGTTATTTACCAGGTGATGTTATTTACCTCCATGCCATGAAAAACTTCAGCTGCCTATTTCCACACATCTAGGCTTCTATTGAAAGGACAGGACATTCTTCTTCAAACCTGTTTGTAACACTAGGAAAGAATTGCATACACCAATCTCACACTTAGCAGGAAGTATAACTCGCATGAATCTGCCTTATAGTGAATCAGACCATCAGTCCATCAAAGTCAGTATTGCCTAAAGACTGGCAACAGGTCTCAGGCAGAGGTCTTTCACATCACCTACTGCCTGGTCCCTTTAAACTGAAGATGCCAGGGATTGCAACTGGGACCTTCTGCATGCAAAGGAGAGGCTCTTTCACAGAGCCACAACTCCTCCCAGCTGGCCCAGGATCATCAGTCTACATCAGAGTTTTTTATGGAGATCAAATCAGTCAATCCTAAAAGAAATCAACCCTGACTGTTTCCTGGAAGGCCAGATACTGAAGCTGAAGCTCAAATACTTTGGCCACCAAATGAGAAGGGAGCACTCACTGGAGAAGACCCTGATGCTGGGAAAGATTTAAGGTAACAGCAGAAGGAGACGGCAAAGGATGAGATGGTTAGACAGCATCGATGCAATGAACATGAAATTAAGCAAACTCTGGAGCACGCTGGAAGACAGGAGGGCCTGGCATGATGTGGTCCATGGGGTCGCAAAGAGTCAGACGTGACTGTGCAACTAAACAACAACAACACACACTGGATTCATCCAAAAGCATACATTTCTGTAGGTCCACCAGAACCATATCTATAGAACATTTTCGAAGCCTAACAAGAGCCAGGCATTGGGTAGGTAGAATTATGTAGAGATTTTTTTAAAAATCTGAAAATTTTGAAACAATGGGAAGAATATGGTTTAATCTTCCCACCCCCAAAAGTTCCCAGAAAAATGAAGTATATGCAGTTCTTACTTTCCTATCAAATCTAAAATTATTTTAGTTAGCTTATCAATTGTACTAACTGACATATTGATGGAAGTAGAAATGTGTTAGTTTCCTACAAGAAAAATGCAAATGCACCAACTACTTGAGAGCGGCAAACCCTGCACCATTATGTTACCTTAGTAAGTATATCTTAATTTTTGCCATGAGATATAGGGGGAAAACCCAAACTTTATGTTGAAGAAAGTAAACTGTATAGTTTGGACAAAAACAATTTCATACAATCACAAAAGGACTACCGACATCCTGAGATACCAAACTTTATAACACTGAAAACACTGCATTATTTAAGAATGTATTATCAAGCACATTATAGCATATTAGAGGTTGCCAAAATTACTCACATTTAAACAGTAAACACACCCTTGAAAATATGATATACGTGTCTCAGTACACATAGGAATTGTCTAAAATTCTAGCCTGTCTTACATAAAATGGGCCATCTTCACCCATATGTTCCTGCCTGGGAATTAAGTTTACAGGGAGCGCCCTCCTGACTGTCCCATCAATCAAAGAGGCTCCTTTAGTGGGTAGATGAGAGAAGGTCTTTTCAGTGGTTGCTCCATTATTATGGAACAACCTCCTCAGGGAGTGCGCCTGGTCCCCTCACTTTCAACCTTTAGAAGGCAGCTGAAGACAATTTTATTTAGGACTGCACTTGATAAAAGCAGTTCTAAATTGTGATTTAAACATTTGATTTTACATATTTCATGTACTCTATTTTATTTATATTGTAAGCTGCTTTGACCTCTGTGAACAAGAAAGTGGCAAATAAATGTTTTAAATACATAAATAAGTCACGGTATATAGGGTACACACGGTAAAACCTTGTCCTAAAAACCCTCTAAAACATAACAAGGATGACATTTAGACTGTATTCAAATGCAATGAATTATCTGTTCATGAGAACAAGATTGGTTTATTTTCAGATGGATGTATTTCTTCCACTTGTACTCAGAACTGAATCTGAAGGTATCCTAAACCAGAAAGTCTTCCATCTAACCACAATTTGTTGTGATTTCGGAGTTCAGGTGCCTCAACAAATCAGGGCTTTTTTCTTGCCTGCAAAGCTGGATTCTAAACCACAATTTAATTCTTGTCTATATCGTAGAGAGAGGGCAGAGGAAGCGTGCACTTCTGACAGTAAATGAAGCTCATTCCATCAAGAACAAACTGCATCCATCATGGGATAGTTGCTCCTATGGTGCATAATTTCTCCTAAACGAAGTCAACCCACTACCTACCACAGATTTTACTTAGCCCAGAGCCGCTTTAATTAAACTTACTCCGCAGAAATTCATCTGAACATACACCTCAAATAAACACCGAAAACACCGAAAACATTTGAAGTTCTTTCAAACCCAAGGGACCACAGCGGGTTGCATACACCTGCATCTCTATGCTATCCTGAAACCCTTCTTCATAGCTGGCCGACTCTAGACTACATACACATCTTTCTCCAAGGTTTTCTAGTCAAGCCTGCCTCCATCCCTGTGCTAGACTAAAACGGATCCTGTCCAAATTCAGTAGAGCTCCACGTGCAGCACAGTCAGTACAAAGTTCATTTCAGAATCATACCAAAGTAGGTCTGCAAAAGTAAAGCATTTTGTTACATAGCAAAAATTCTCAAAGAAGAGCCACCCAAGAGATGCAGGTGGTATCTGTAGGCCACCACAATGACGAAGGAATTGAGCAAAACACCTCTTGCATCACACCTGAACTGCTACCCTTAAGCAATTTCTGTACAGGAAGCCCTTCTTTCTCTGCTATTAGATTTTCAGCCTGAGTTCATTGGCAGCAAGTGAAGACTTCATGTGAACAGAAATTACACTGGCCGTGCAAAAAAATGGGGAGACACTTTGCTTCCCAACTGAGAGTCCCCTTAATTTTAATCTCACAGCATCTCTGTAACGCAAGTCTAGGCTGAGAGAATGGCTACAGCTACTTGTGGCTGAGGGGGATTAGAATCTGGTTCTCCTAGGTCCTAGCCAACACTTAAAACCACTACGCTACACTAGTGGCAGATTGGAACTCCTTTATGAACTGTGTGTGCACCACACCTGTATACTCCCCACCCAGCATATACAACTGATGTGCAGACAGAAGTGGATGTCCTGTACTGTGTATGCAAATGTCTGCTTCTGGTAAGACCCTCACCAATAGTCTGATTGAACAGCATGTGTCACTTCTGCACCAGCTTCCATAAAGATGTTTATTTGTGGGCACAGCTGCCTAACAGGCACCCATCTGCATGCCAGGGCCAATATGGTGTATTGGTTAGGAAAATCAGACCAGGTTCAAAATCCCACTCTGCCATAGAAGCTTGCCAGGTGATCTTGGGTCACTCACACATTGTTAGCCTGACTTACCTTGCAGTGTTGTTGCGAGGATAAAAATGGAGGAAAGGGAAATGATGTCAGCCACTTTGGGTCCCCAATGGGGGGAAAGGTGAGGTACAAATGAAGTAAATAAATAATAAAAAATAATTAACACCTGCATTGGCATCTCTCCTTTTTCCGAACCTTATAAGGGAATTCTTGCTATATGCAAAAGTGTTACACTTGTGCAGCTCAAGCATTACATTTTCTTCAATGTTACATTTATTAAACTGAAGCAACAATTGCCACACAGAGATCACCGGAGTTTTACAATGTTTAACTCTGCTTCTTAGGTTTATGTGGTTTAAAAAAAGAGAGTTGCTATTACCACTTCCACTAGCTCTGGGAATAGTGCACTGAGAAAGTCTGCTACAGCAACCCTGGTGACTGTATATGAGACCTTTCAGCAAATATAGGGTAAGCTGATGTAGGATATTTATCACATTTGTTTGCTTTTCCTCCAAGGACTTCAGGCTAATGTACATAGTTATTCCATTTTATACACACAACAGCCCTGGTAGGCAGTCTCAGGCAGAAGAAGTGGCTCAGGAACACTCGGCTGAGCGGGGGTCTGGACAGATGTCCCTGGTCTAACACATCATCCACTGTGCTTTATAAGCGTTCTCTGACTGTGTGTGACCTTTGCCCAATCACATCTAAAGCTGCCGCAGTTTCCTGGGATCGCTGCAACCGGCACCCCAAGATTCATCCAAACATATATATATGTGGCCCAAGATCTTTGTCTGGAAAGCTCTATGTGAGTTTCAGAAGCCTGGCTTCCAACACGTCTAGATGCCAGCTGTTCTGAGCAATAACCATGTGATCTCTGATGGGTGTTGCTAACCATGCTAGAGTTACAAGAGGAGGAAGTGCCAGAGCAGAGCATAAACAAAACATGACTCTGTTTAAGGGCACCCAAAAGAGCATCAGCAGGTAAACCAAGAGCTGCTCTGCAAGTTTCAAATATGTAAAGTGGGCGGTAGAATTTTGTCTACACAACTGCAGAAGACTGCAGGTCACAGGTCATGTTTTAATGCTCCCTTGCACTTAAAAAAAAATTCCTTCCATGCAGCATACTAACATCAGGAGGTGGTCTATGCTAAACATTTCCTCCTGTGGTTCTGATTAATGTGTGCAAGGGACCTTCTTGTGCTGGGAGGACCAAAAAGGTCTGCTAACATCTGCAGCCTCCTGAAGCGAGACAGAACAGAATTCTACCACCACAGTTCTACCACCACCTGATCTTCCACCTCATTATCTTTAATGTGCAGAAAGGCTTGCAGGGGAAAAAAAAAAGAACCTTGCTCTCATTCCTGTGTGCCTAGTCCAAATACATTTCAAGGAGTTGTCCTTTTCAGTTAGTCTAGAAGAACCCTTGTCTCAGAACAATGCTGGAAGGAAAGTCCCTGTGCTGGAGTCTGTTGGTCACTTCTCATGACAAAAAAAGAAAAGAAAGAAAGAAGATGCTCCCAAAGGCAGCAAGCTACTTACCCAAGGTGAATTCCCATTGCTCATTCCCAAGAGATCGCTCGGGAACCACTTCCAGATCTAGCATTGGCCCAGGCAGAGGAACGGCCCAGTAATCACAGCAGGGTCACGATGTTATTGTGGTTTGACCTGAACAGGGAGAGAACATACACCCAAGCTTATGTGTCATCCTTCTAATCTAAGGCCTTAACCCAAAGCAATATGCAAACATTCCTTCTTGCTCAAACGCTGATGAGGAAACACTGATCCTCAGGGCTGGCCTCATGTTATTGTTGTTATTCTTTATAACAACACCGTTAAGTTATTGTTTCCCCCTTTCCCATTGCTTACCTGGACCTGCAAAAGGGCTTCCCAATCCAGTAAGCATCCAAACCTTTATCGTTTTCCAATGTGAAAGCACACGCACACATATGCTGATTATATTATGCAAGCATTGGCAGGATCTGTCAGCTTCAGGCCCTGTTCTGGACACTGTGTCTTAAGTATCTCTCATTCCAGTCATGCTCTCTTGGTCTGCATCCATATTCACCAACAGATATATGGGATAAGTGCTTTAAGAACTCACGGCAGGCAAGCTGGCCTGATTTACCCTGCCGGGTCCCTGTGCCATGAACAAAAGTGAGTCCTATTGATCCCCTCTCCTCCAAAGCATGGGATAACCCCCTTCTGCCTCTCTCTCCCATCACAACGAAGTTCACTGTGCAAGGCAAAGGGAGAGGGCATCCCTCGGGGCAGGGGGGGGGGGACAACACAAAAATATTTCCAGTATCTCCCACTGAAGGCACTCAGCAAGGTGAGAAAACGAGGCAAAAAGGACATGGACCTTAAAGGTCAAGCCCCCTTCACACTTTGAAGGCCCACTATGGAGAGCCTCCTCCCAGTCTCTTGTACAGCAGATTCCCCAAGGGACAAAAGGCACTACGGAGAATCATTTTGTCAAAGGGGTGGCAGCAGAGAGAAAGCATTAGGAGAGAATATCCCTTCCAAACAGCATGGGCAGGAAGCCCCAAGAAAGCACCAAACATGAGCCAGTCAAAGTGTCCTCTTTTGGCCTCTGTTCAATAATGGTTCCCTCCAGAGGAAGAAATGCTTTGCATGATTGGCAATACCTTTTCCTCCCAATTAGTAGCCGACAACCGAGTTCTCACCGCACAAACGCTCAAGCAAGATGTCCACAGCCAAGATTACTCCAAGCCCACAGGACTTGGGTTCTTTTCCTCCCCAGCTCCCTCAAGAGCAAAACTGCTCCCTACTGGGGCCTGTGTGCCTAAAACTTCATATACAGGGAACAGCCAGAGGCTGCTGAGAGGTTTGGATTGCCAGGGAGACAGAGAGAATGCTGTGGGGGGGTATCTGAGTGACAGCCAGGAAAGGGTCAGTTGGGGAGCTGATGGGAGAGAAAGGAGCCATATAAGTGAGGTGGAACACTCCACCACCATCAAGGAGCTGCAGAGGGACTGGAAAGACACCAAAGACTAGGTAACTGCAAAGGAGTGCAAAGCCACGAAGGAACAGACCCAGAAGGGAGCTGTTTGGCTAAGACTAACCAGCAACGGGTGAACAACTGAGGAAATAAAGAGTGGGAGCCCGGTGAACATAAACCTGGCTTAAGAACCCACCTGAAGTGAAGACCAATCAACTCCACACTCTCTGTATGAGTGGGAGAGTTCAGATTTTGAGAGGAAGCTATTTGGTGTTTAAGCACATAAAGTTACATAATGTATGGTTACAAATATTGAACGGATGGAGAAATTAGTCAGGGTTTCTTTACCCCGTCTTATATTTATACTTTCCACATCTCTAAATAAACTACAATGGCCTCTTTCACACCACCCACATGGACAGGGTCTGAACCACCTATCCGCAAGAGCAGAGGAACTTGCCCGCTTAAGGAAACTGTTTCAAATCCGATTATAAACATCCCTCCCTATTAGCTCAGGTAGGAACGTTGCACAACAGACACGATAAGGGGGGAAAATTCACTGCGGTTCCCACCTTCTCTCATGAGGCACAAGCAAATCCAACCTGAAACCCCACCAAAACTTTGTCAGTTATTAGGACCCAGTGTGCATCTCAGCAGAACACCAAGAATAAATTAGTCTTCCCACCCGGTTCAAGAAAATGAAATACACAGACAAGAGAGATTTGACACCCCCCCTGAACAGATTCTGCCTTCCTGCCTTTCTTCACCCCCCCATCCCCACACCTCACCTTATGCAAAACAATGAAGATAAATATCCCACACACACACACACCAATACTCTGGTCTTTCTGGAGATCAGTTCCTTAGCTTACACATCCACCTCTCCCATACTTGTGTGTGTGGGGGGGGGAGTTAGGCAAGATTATCTCCTCCGGAGTTACCAGTAATAGTTCATCGCTGGAGGGGCAAATTCCTGACCCACCAAGTTCTTCTCCCCCAAACACAACAGTCATAATTTAGGGGGAGGGAATTCCTGACTCATCTTCTCCCTCCCCAGCAGCTGTGCTGGGAGATTTCTACCCCCCCCCCCCCCCAGCACAACAGTGATAAGGGGGGGGGGGGAGATTCCTACCCCACCACAACAGTTGGGAAAGGGAGGGAACCCTGCCCTTTTCCCCACCCCCAGCACACTAGTTGGGGAGGGTAGATTTCTGCCCCCCTCTCTCTCCCGCTCCCCAGCACCACAGTGTCTCCAAAGCAGACCCTCCCCAGAGAGGAAGCAGCATGGAGAGAGAGAGAAAGTTTCCCCCTACTCTGCTTCAGGCAGCAATGGGGACCTCCTCGAAACTGGCCCCCTAGCAATAGAGAATATTTTATATTTGGCCGGGGGGGGAAGCTGAACCTAACAGCCCCTCCAGGAGAGCCTCCAGAAGAGGGAAGGTCTCTTGTTTACAAACGGGAAGAAGGGGAAGGAGTCGAGGAAACTCCCCCGTAATAACAAAGGCCTGGCCGGGGGGGGGGGGGGGGAGGGAACGCCCCCCCGCCCCGGGCAAAGGGACGGGTGGCCGTTCCAAGGAGCGCCTGGGGACCCCCGCCGCCGCCGCCGCCCCGGGGGTCGCGGGGCTTGCTGCGACTCACCTCACTTGCGGCTGCTGTAAACGGGGGGAATGAATATCCTTTGCGGCCGTCAGGCGACAGGCAGGCCGGCTGAGGCGGAGGAAAGCACCGGCAGCCGAGGCCGAGGGGCGGGGGGGGGCGGAGCCAGGCGGCTCTCGCTCGCTCGGCCTGCCTTCGCCCGCGAACAGGGGTTGGGCCCGCCGCCCTGCCCTCCCTCTGGACGTCACTCCCCTTTCCTAGCTTTTGGGAAGGGGGAAACTGCTAAGGGAAGGCGTCCCTGCTAAGTCTCAGAGCCAAAGAGGTCACCCCACCCCCCATTCCTTTTATTGTGAGGGGGGAAAGATGGTCAGAGAGAGACTCCCACCGTCTCCCTCAAAACCCTGCTTTTCTTTTTCTGCTGCTGCTGCTGTGCCCTGTGCAGGCTCAGAGGCTTCCCTCTCATCTGCTCATTTTGTCCCACCCTCCCTCCTCAGGGCGGTAGTATGCTCACAACAGCCCCATGAGGTAGGGCAGGTGAGGAGAGAGAATGACCAGCAAAAAGGCACCTGTTGGAGAAGGGGATCATGACTGAGTGGTTGAGCTTTTGCCTTGGTTCAGTCTCTGGCATCTCCAGTTAAACGGATCAGGGTGTAGAACAAAGTTTGAGTCTAGTGGCACCTTTAAGTCCAACATCCCATGTCAATCAGAAGTCTGAAGGAGAAAGGCACTTTGCACATGGTCAGAGGCAGCCATGCCACTCATGGCATAAGAGATGCCTGGGTTCAATCCTTCCTACTTTTCTTTCTTTCTCTCCCACTTCCCATCCAATTTAAGAGATCCCATCTTTTTAACTGCTTTAGGCCCAGATTATAGATTCAGCCATGCCAGTTCTCTGTGTGAATGCAGATGTTACTAGAAGGATTGTTCAAACAAAGCCAAGGTCCTGCCTGCAACCTGAAGTACCGCAGTCCAGGACAGACATCACCACTTGAGCCTGGTAAAAGTATAAACTGGCCATTCTCACATCCTGAGATGGACTCTTTCTTTCCCATTTCAAATGAGAAAAGGCACTCTGTATACTCTCAGAGGAAACTTTGTGAACCTTGTATTTCTTACAGCTGGGGTTCAAACTCGTCTCTACCACTGTTCCCTCTAAGCTGTGCTTGTGAGTGGCCACTCATTTACACAGGAAGCCCCACTCAGCAGCAATCTGTGACAATCAAATTTGGACACCTTAAGACAATAGAGTTGTTCGCTTGTCCACAAACTAGACTACAGTTTCAATCAGCCCATTTTCAACTAAGCAAAGGCCGAAGGGCTCCACTCACTGATTCCTGCCTGACTGAAGGCAAAGGGCTCTTTAACCCCTTCTTCCCCTGGCAAAAGAGAGGCTTGGACAGAATCCTTCCTTTAGAAACCTGTGCATAGCAGCATGCATCATCAGTGGAGGGATCTATTCAAGCCTCTCTTGCTGGGGGAGAAAGGGTTACAGAGCCCTTTGCCAGTGCCTGGGAGTTGCCTAGTTCAGAGCTACTCAACACCCTTCATGAGGTTGATGGAGTAGGCCGCCCTCAAAAGCTTGTGCTGCAATGAATTGGTCTCTGAGGAGTCTCACCCTGTTCTTTTTGCCGCAACAGCAGCACAGTAACATGGCTTCACTTCTAGAGCTTAAACCAGAGGCCCATTTTTAAAAAAAGACACATTCACACACACCTGCACATGCAGGCAGCCATAGAGATATAAGATACTACAGATACATAGGTTCTGAACTGAAGGCAGCATGGTATAGCCTGATCTCGTCAGACCTGGGAAGCTAAACAGGCTCAGCACTTGGAAGGGAGACCACCAAGAAAGGCTCTGCAGAAGGAGGCAACGGCAAACCACCTCTGCTTCTCCCTTGCCTTGAAGGCCCCTTGCTGGGGTCGCCATAAGTCAGCTGTGACTTGACGGCACTTCACACACACAGGTTTTGCAGTGCCTTTATTCCACCACCACCCATCCTCTGTGGACTTCCCCAGTAATGAAATAAACCATTTACAGCAATCTCCATACCAATTCACAGAGTTTCTATCCTGTTCAAGTTGCCAAAGAAACAGTGGTAGATCTAGGGAGAAAGCTGATCACCACCTGCTTTTGGACCAGGAATGCAGAGGGATACATCACAAACATCTTTTGTTTTTTGGACCAGATATGGTTGAATACATGAAGTTGCCTTAAACTGCATCAGACTGTTTGTCAATACAGGTCAGTATTGTCTACTCTAACAGGCAGCAGATCTCTCACATCACTCTTCTACCTGATCCTCTTAATTGGAGATGCCAGGGATTGAATCTGGGATCTTCTGCCTGCAAGACAGGTACTCCTGCACTGAGCCTAGGGCCTTAAAAAAACCCAGGTCAGACCATTGTTTGATTTGTTGGAAGTAAAGGACTTTGCACTGTCTCTTTGCCTCAGATTCCAGAGGAAAACTACAGGAGAGTCAGAGAGCTAGACAGGCAGGACACTGATCACCCTTGCTTTTACTAGTCGCTGATACTATCCCTTTGATGTGTAGATTGCTACTGTTAGGGGAAACTCCCTCCTTCCCTCCTTTCTGGTCACACTCTCCCTCCATACAGAATGTCATGATTCACCATGAGAGCAGGATGCTCTCCTGCATCTCCATCCATCTAGCTAGTTAGAACAGATGAGAGAACCTATCTCTTCACTATCCTATCTAGAATGGAGTTCCTATAATAAAGAACTCTTATTAATTTGAAAAGACAAAGAGGCTCCACGTAACTTCGTTCCTTGCTGGCCCACACACGGACCAGATGGCTCTGCTGCATTTTAAGCCACTGAACAGCACTCTGCTACCCTACTAAAAATCCAAACACAATTAAGGTCTGTCTTGTCTGCTCTGACTGGCAGCAGTTTCTCCAGAGTCTCAGACAAAATCTGCTGGCTCTACTGAAGACCAGACAGGGTGGCACATTTGAACACACACACATGAACTCACATAAAGCACATTTGAAAACACACATAGTGAATCAGACCAGCGGTCCATCAAAGTATTGTCTATTTAGACTGGCAGAGGCTCTCCAGAGTCTCAGGGAAAGGTCTTTCATATCACCTACTCCCTGATCCTTCTTTAGCTGGAGATGCTGGGGATTGAACCTGGGACCTTCTGCATGCAAAGCAGAGGCTCTAGTCACAGCCCTTCCCCTATGTACCGGACCTCCCTAGCCTTGGTCTTCCCTGGAATATGAATCAGGCCAACAGGCTGCTTAGTGCTGGTCACCTCTGGCCGCAGTAATCAACCAGCCCATGGCCAGGAAGCTACTGATCTGAGCACCATCTGTGCAGCAGCTGGTCTTGACCCTGTGGCCTTTTCCTTATGCTAAGAAAGAGCCAATGCCTGGCACCATGAATGCAGGGAGACACCCCCCCCCCCCAAAGCATCTGCCTTCCAACACCGTCAGATCTGTGTGGCATCTCTGTAGGGTATGACGGGATTTCAAATTACCTTATTAGAAAGTATATATATTTATGTGTGCATGTGTGTGTGTCAAGAAATATGGCTTGGGGGAGGCTGTTTTGTTTGTTTTAAAACTGGATGGGGCTGGGCATGCAGGAGCAGGAGGGAAGGACAGCTTAGGGCAATGCATCTAATAGTACCCTTTATCCTGAACTAAAATTGGAAGCACACTGGGTGTGGAGGAAGAGGAATACTCTTCTGAGGAATCCATCCCCTCTGTTTCTGCACGACTCACTGTTCTGGATGTTCCTTTCGACTGGAAGGGAGTGGGCCAAGATCAGTAACTCACACAGAGGCACAAGAGCGATCAAAGGCTCTAACTATACCCAGTGCCAAGAGGAGGCAAAGCAACCACAGCAGAAATTGTGTAGGAGCAGAGATGTATGCAGATATACAACAGGCAACCTTGCCTCAAAGAGGAGGTGGTACATAGTGCCTCTTGTGAGTGACTCCAACACAGCTGATTTCCAATCCCTCAGCAGAGGCTGACTGGAAGGAGGCAGAGGCCAGAGCAGTAACTCACACAGAGTCGCAGCAGGTTCCTCTGTGGACAGCTGACTTGGGTTGACAGAACCCTCTAATAAATTTAATAGGCATATTCAGCATATTAGAATTACTGGGTTCAGGGGCTAAGAAGTCTAGGATCCCCTGCTCTCAACCTGGAAATTCGTGCGACGTTTTAAAACAAACTGCTGATTAAGCCGGAGGTGCAGCAGCCACATCTTTCCCCACCCATTTCTTCCTCTAGATTTTTCATCCATCTCCTCCCCACAATTACTGGACTACAGATGTGCTACACATCAGTTGAGGGGCATGAATGGAAGAATGGAACGAGAGCCAGTGTGGGGTAGTGGTGGTTAAGAGTGATGCACTCTAATCTGGAGAGCCAGGTTTGATTCCCCACTCCTCTGCATGAAGCCAGTTGGGTGACCTTGGGCCAGTCTGAGTTCTCTCAGAGCTCTCTCAGCTCCACCTACCTCACAAGGTGCCTGTTGTGGGGAGGAGAAGGGAAAGGGGATTGTAAGCCGCTCTTAGACTCCTTAAGGTAGAGAAAAGTGGGGTATATAACCCACTCTTCTTCTTTAGATGGGAGTGGCACCAACTGCACTGCATCCTCCTTGGTAAGTAACCACTGTTCTTATCTTTTGTACTTGTTAAAGCTCTAGTGTTTAAATTGTTATAATGATGAATCTCTGTTGTTTTTAATGGCTTTTCAGATGAGATTTCCATGCGTATGTTTTATTAGCCGCTTTGGTGGCCCTAGGAGGGCAGAAAGGCAGGGTAAAAAACCACACAAATGAATAAATAAATAGTTATTTCATTTATACCCCTGCTTTCTCCCCAGTGGGGATCCAAAACAGCTTCCTTCCTTCACATCGCCTCCATTTTATCCTCACAACAACCTTGTGAGGTAGGCTAGGCTGAGAGAGTGTGGCTGGCCCAAGGTCACCCAGGAGAGCTTCTGTGGGACAAGTGGAGATTTGAACCTGGGTCTCCCAGATACTAGTCCAAACCTTTTAACAGCTCGACCACACTACCTCTTGTCCCTCTAGATCTGAAGGAACAGTGAATCT